ATTCAAAACCTTATCATCCTGATTCTAAGTATCCACTGTACGACTTTGTATACAACATTCTGCATCCATAGTTATCCACCTTTCTGACAAAAGGAGAAAAATATATTTTGTTCTCTATTCTCAGGAACTAAATAAGTCATCACATTTCATCTGAATTCAAAAGCTTTTAGGTTTTTTTTTCTTTTTCATTTGTATCTCTATACTCATTTTGTACATCGTTTCCCTCAGCTTGTTTTCTTCACTCTGCATCAATTCATACAGCTCTTGCAAGGTTTCTCTAATCTCCTATTAGTCATTTCTTAAAGGACACCAATGCTCCATTCTATGCCACAATTTTTAAGCCAGGCCGAATACTAGGAATTCTTGTAAGTGGGACAAATTCATTCGGAGGGGAAAGAGCTAAGGAGAATACCTAGGATATCTCCTATTTTTAAAAAGAAAAAAAAATAAAGATTAAAGAAAGGTGAGGAGGGAGAATTCTTTGAGTTTGGTTGTTTTTTTTTTAAGTTTTATAGCTCAACTATGAATGACTTAGCTATTCTGATCAATAAAATTATACAGGACAATTTCCAAGGCTTTATGATGAAAAATGTTATCCACCTGCAGAGAAAGAACTGATGAACTCTGAGTACATTGAAGCATAATTTTTTTTGCTTTCTTTATTTTTCTTGCTTTTTTTCTTTTATAACATGGCAAATAGGGAAATAAGTTTTGCATGATTTCATATGTATAATTGAAATTACATTTCTTGCCTTCTTAATGGGTAGTGGAGAAGTAAGCTGGGAAGAGAGAATTCAAAACTACAAAATAAATTTTCAATGAATGTTAAATGCCCATCAATCAGGGAATGATTGAAAAAGTTGTAGCATATGATTGTAATGGATTACTACTGTACATAGGAAATGATGAACAGGCTGATTTCAGAAAAACCTGAAAAGGCTTATACAAACTTATGTAAAGTGAAGTAAGCAGAACCAGAACATTGTACACAGTAACAAATACTATACAAAGATCAACTGTGAATGATTTAGCTATTCTCAGCAATACAATGATCCAAGACAATTCTAAACAACTCAAGATAAAAAATACCATCCACCCTCAGAGAAACTGCTGAGGGAATCTGAATGCAGATCAAATCCTACTATTTATCATTTCACTTTTTATGAATTTTTCCCCTTTGGGGTTATGCCTTCTTTCATAACATAACCAATATGGAAATATGTTTTGAATGATTGAACATATATAATCTATATCTCAGGAATGGGGAGATAGGAAAGGGAGGGAGAAAATTTGGAAGTTAACTGTTTTAAATGAATGCTAAAAATTATCCCTACATATAATTAGTTGAAAATAAAAAATTATTTTAAAAAGAATATTTTAAATGAAAGTTAAGACAAATAAAAATAACCCAAAAAATAAGATAAACATATTTCACTATTCTAAATAGAGTTGTATTGCTGCCTTCCCTTTTTATTTCACATTCAGTGCTGAATATATAGTTGCTCTTCTCTACAACTAACAATTCCTTTATCATAACAGAGGCAGCTAGGGGTGCAGTGGAGGGAAGGGGAGAAAGTGATGGGGATGGCAATACTTTGTTGGCACAGGGTACTGCTTGACTGTGGATGTAGTTATACAGGGAGAGGGAGTGGTCTGTTACAAGGTAATTGAGTAGAAGGCAGGATCCAAGGGAGGGGCACTATGACAGTGTGATTTGGGAGGGGGTAACAAAACTGAGTCTGAGATAACCAAAGCATATGGAAGTTTTAAAGTGCATTTCTAAAAATCAGATATGTGATTTAATAGTCGGGGGTGAGGAAGCCCCTAAAGAAAAAACTGTCTCCACTAAAGCAGATGGACAACTGCCCTGCCACATTCAGCCTGAAAGTTAAGTGGGAGACTTACAACTAGTATACATGAGAGCTAGGACCTGAATGATGAACTTCCTGACTCCTACAGCTGCTCCCTGTCCTCTATACTGTTCTGCCTCTCTACAGGGAGCCCATGAGGAAAATATCCAAGCAGCTCCATTGAGGACTTGACAACTTTCAGCAGAAACTCAAATACACCCAAAAACAAAACAATAGAATTCCTCCTTCTCTTTCCTTCCAAGAGGAACCTGCTATTACCATTGTGACTTAGCAGAGTCTCTCTTCCAAAGAGCTGTTGATCCCTAGAGTATCTATGCCAGCCCTATGTATATGGTAAATTTTGCAATAATAATCAAGAAGAATTAAAACTCATAAAAAATTAGAACTACTATTACATAAATAGAGGGCAGGTTGCCAACTGCAACTTTATCCATTATGTATTTTGTTTGCACACACTTGTTTGCATGTTGTCTCCCCATTAGAATATGAAATCTTTGAGAGTAGGGGAGTGGTTTTGCTTTTCTTTGTATCCCCAGAGTTTAACTCAGTGCTTGGCCATAGTAGGCATTCAATAAATGCTCTTTGATTGGATTTGACATCTACCTGAACAATAGACTTATCTCTTCTTTGGTCCTCTTCCCCAATATCATTATAAAAGTACCCACCTTTTAGTTGTATTTTGTTTTCTTCACCAGCATCATTCTGAGCTTGAGCATCCCTAACACAATTCTTACAAAACTATGACATACTTTTGTTTGTCTCCCATGCCTGGAAGTTTCTCCCTCATCATGTCTACCCCTTGACTTCCTCAACCTCCTTCATGACTCAGTTACAATCCTAATTTCTGGAAGAGTTTTCCCACCTTCTTCCCTCACCCCCCAAATATTAGCATCTTCCCTCTGAGATTTTTCTTTAGTCATGTCCAACACTTTGTGACCTCATTTGAGGTTTTCTTGGCAAAGATACTGGAGAGGTTTGCCATTTCCTTCTTTAGCTTATTTTACACATGAGAAAACTGAGGCAGAAATGGTCAAATTGCATGCCCAGGGTCATATAGCTACTAAGTGTGCGAGCCCAGATTTGAACTCAGGAAGAGGAGTCTTTTTTACTCCAGGCCCAGTGGTCTAATCACTGCTCCATCTAGCTCTTCCTCCCTTTGAGATTACCTCCCATTAAAATGTATGTATTTTGGTAACTTATTGCATGTTGTCTCCTTTATTAGAATATGAACTTATGAATGACAGGGACCATGATTTTTATCTTCTTGATATCCCCAAAACTGTACCTGGAACAAAGTACGTGCTTAACAAATACCTATTGATTGTTGACTGATTCCTATGACCTTCCTTTGTTGTGATCTTCTATACATATTTTCTTTCAATCTAAATTGATTAATTAGTTCTATAGGTATGCATTTAGACAATTCTCACTTTTCATTTTTTCAATTTTCGTATTTGTTTTTCTTTGGGGTTTCAGAATTTCACTCTTCAAGAGTTCAGCAGCTCTCCTGGGTCAAAATGTCTCTGTAGACAGTTCTACCATGATCTACAATCCTTTCCCTGAACATTCTGACATCTGTTCTCTCAGAATTTAAGGTATAGGTCAGACTAATCCAAGCTTTCCTCTTCTTTGTCAAAAATTGAAAGATGGAGTGCTCATTTCCACCAAAGTCCTCATCATTTCTATCCCCACAAACAGTTCCTCCTTGTTGATAAAAATCTGAATCGGAATATAAGTTGACTTCATTGATCTTTTTACCTTTCGAAGAATGAGATTACCATTAAGGCAAGTCAAGGAATTATTGATAATTCTGGTTTGGGCAGAAAGAGAACTCCAAAAGATGTCCAGATCATTGACATCATCTTTCACTACTATATAGTAGTGCTATGCTAGGCTATTAGGCTGCCAGACTCATGACAGACTTAATACAGGCTTGGGAGTTAATAGTGGTCAGTTTCCTGAATTCCTTCTATTTCTTCTTTCTGTCCTGGTAGTCCATAGTATACTCCAATTAAGAATAGTATGTTTCTGTTTCTGTCTTTCCTGATCTTCATCCTATAGCTCTCAGCTTTCTATCATCCCTGATTTCTGAATTTCTTCCTTGAGGATATCTCCTTAATATGCAATGCTCTTTTGAACCTTCCCTAACTTTTATCGATTCTGTTCCTTTTGAATAAGGTACACCCTTTCAGAGTTGTTTTCCAAATTCTGTTCTTAGCCTACTAAGTTTTAATCAAGTCAACAAGCATTTATTAAGCACCTACTATATATCAAGTACTGTGTATAAGTACTGGGAATGTAAAGAAAGGCAAAAAATAAATAAAACCTTCTCTCTTCTCAAGGAGCTCACAGTTTAATAAGGGAGATTGTTGGTATGTTGTTCAAATGGCTATGTACAAACAAGACATGTACAAGATAAATTGGAGATGATTAACACAGGAAAGTATTGCAGAGAACCAATTTAATCAAATGTGAATTATTGAATTAGGATCTCTTTGTCACATTGCTTATTATTCATACTTTGTTCAATTGTGTCCATCTGAGGCCATGTGTTTTATTACTGGTTCTTTTCTTGTTTTGGTTTCTTCTGAATTTCTGGATGCCTCTGATTTTCCTCTTCTTATATTATGACTACTCTTTTTGGTATCTAGCTTGGTGGATATGTACTGAGAGAACTGTGGGAATTGTCTGAACCAAACGACTCCATTTTGTAAAATTGACTCCATTTTGAGATGTCAATTTCATTTCCTAGAATTTCTACCTGCTTGCTAATCAGGAATTGAGTGAAACATACTGTTTCACATCCTGGAAAGTCCACCTGCTCATTCAAGTCCCTAATCTTTCTTCTGACTAGAAATCAGATTGCCTAATCTTGTATCCTGGTTGATATCCTATTAATTATTCACTTTTAATGCATAAAAATTTATATTCCTCTGTATTTGGGGTCTAGTGCCAAGCTGAGGAGGCCTGATCCCAAATTGTTACACAATTGTCATGCATTGCTTAATAAAGTGACATGCTTGGAAGCTTGAACCTTTGTTTTCTTGGTTATTTCAGATTTCACCCATCCCAATTTTTGGCAAAGTCAGCTAGGGTGAGTAAGGACTCCAAAAGGAAGCCTTTATAAAGAACTGCCTTGAGCACTCTGGACATTTCTCTGAGGGACATCTTCAAGGAATACTGCTCCAGGAGTTTGGATTCCCCTCAATCTCAATTTCTTTCTAAGCAAAGGTAAGCCCTCATGTAGTTGAGGACAGGAAGCCCCTCTAAGGGATGTCTTTTTAAGGAAATAGGTTAAAGTAAGCTTTCTCAATGTAGGAGACATACCCTTAGTAAAACAAGCTAGGGTAAACCTCTAAACTGTTAGGGAAGTGCCCTTGGGGAAATTATAAGATCAGGGAGTAGCATCTCAATGGAACCCCATTGGAAAATTTTCCTTTATTCTTGGACCAAGGGAAGAGCATACTAGTTAAAACTGACATTAAAGAAATTCAGCTTGTTCTAAAATATATAAACATAAAAATAGATACTAAATTTTTCCTGAAGAAGGGACTTTTAATTAAAACAAAGTAAAAGCCTTGAGATCAGACTTTCAGTAGAAGATGAGGAGGCTATTAAGTATGTATTTCTCATTGTTTTGTCCATGTTTTTGTTTTTTTGTAAAATGTTCAGAAATAATCTTTGTTGTGGGTCGTGTTTAATGTTGTTTGTAGATTCTGCCACCTTGAAAAAATCCTAAGGAGAAAGCACAACTAGTCATAAAGACTGCTGTGAAAATGGGCTGCCAAAGAGTTTAGAAAGATTAGGTAGAAAGATTAATGAAGTTTCATAGTTTTATACTTGAAGCAGTTCTCCCAGCTTTCTGTAATTTGATGCTAAACTCTGTCTAAGTAAGCAGAACTAATTCCCACTTTAGGCTTTTAGGAGGAGATATAATTTAAAAAGAAAAAAAAAACCCGCAAGATAATTTCTCTCTGTCATTTCAGCCCTAGACAGGTTGGGCTTGTAGAAATTAAACTAAGAAATCAAGTAAAGAAGAGTTTTTTCCTGGTTGGTAAAAAAAAATTTAGTATTATAAAGAAATTAGAGATGGAATTTTTAACTTTAAATAATACCTGTACTGTAAACTTCCAAATTATGGAAGCTGCTAAAAACATTTTAGAAAATTTTGAAGATTTGCAGATCAAGCTTAAGCACTTCCCTTTATGGAGGGAAGAATTTGGAGTTGGGAAAGAGGTCTGAGATGGGTTGATTTCATTGGGATAAGTAGACTTGAAGCAAGTACTAAATAAGGAACTCACCCACTTTATCTTTGTCCTACCTGATGAGGCACTTAACAAAAATTTAACAAATGCTGAAATGTCTTAGTGAGCTTGGGGTACTACTCTCCAGAATTTGTTTTAAGGAAAAATAAGAATAAGACTTTGAAAGTCAAAGTTATAGGAACTTAATACCCTTTCCTTGGAAATTGAGAGCTATTGTTTTTGTGGAATGAAGGAAAGCAGTTTCACTGATTAGAGAAAAAAGGGGGAAAAAAGAATCTGCTGTAAGCATGTTAAATTTAACCTGCTACTTAATTCTTTCTAGACTATGAAAAGAGGAAACCTTGTTTAGATCAGGAAGCAATTTAAAAATAAATGAAATTTAATTAAGGCATGGAAAGGGAGATTTATAAAGAAGAGAAGTCAATGAGAAAGGTCCACCTACTCAACCCCCAATGTTGCCTAGGCCCACACCCTCTAAAGGATAATAGGGATAGACATCCACAATAAGAGGAATTGGCAGGGTGAGGAGCCCAGAAACTAGGAATGTATTTGAGGAAGCCTCGAGTAGAATGTTAAAAGCAGAATTAATTGTTTAAGTTAGAAGCAAGTTCACCATAGAATACTAAAAATGAACCAAGCATTTGTAAGCTCTTAGAAACTCCAAAAAGTAATAGTATTGCAATTAATTGGGTTATTTAAAATTTTTGTACTAAATTACAGAGAAGAAATGTGAGTGAAGATTAGTTGTTCAAATAATCTGGAATACAATTAGAAAATATGGTACTCTACCCCTGAAAACCCATTCTAAGAATGTATCACAATCTTTTGAATCCTCTCAAGCTCCAAAGCAAGGGAATGGGAAGGCAAGGCTACTGCTTGAAGCCTCTCCCCACCTTTCTGTAGAATTGAAATTGAAAAGCCTCAGGGAAAGGAGGGAGAATTGGGCTATCTTAAGAACACAAAAGGAATTCACTTTGCTTTTGGGGTGATTTAAGAGTATATTATTTTTTAATTTATGAAAAGGTGAAAGTGCTACCATGAACCTTAGAAAATGAGCTAATCGTTAACTCTGGGCTCTAAATTTTGAAGTGCAGGTACCTAACAGCTCAGGAAAATGGAGATTTTTATTTTATGGTTGGAAATTCAGATTTGATTTCGTTCAGATTTGTTTTGTAACTAAATTATGATATGGTGAAATGTGTTCTCCTATTAATTGGGGCATCAAATACCAAAAAAAAAGTGGAAAAATTAATGGATCAGGGAAACCTGAGTTACACTCTGGTCTCAGAAATTTATTATCTGTGTGACCTTAAGCAAGTAATTTTACCTCTATTTGCCTCTGTTTCCTAATTTGTAAAGGGGATGGAATTAGCATCTGCCTTTCAGGGTTATTGTGAGGATTAAATGATATTATGATTGTGAAATGCTTAACATTATGCCTGGAATATAGTCAAGACTATGTAATTCTTGGTTATTGTTGCTATTATTTCTTTAATTAAATGTAATTGCTACATACTGGATAACTCTATAGAAATTTTCAGAAGCGATTAGTATAAAATGCCAAAGGTGATACAATGAATGATTTTCTATGTAAGATAATTTAGACATGCATTTAACAGAATTGATGTCATCTAAGAATAAGTTTTGTTTAATATTTTAAATATATGATTATTGTGTTTTTAAAACTTTTTCTTGCATTGTGAAATTTGAGAAACCATTGTCAGAAATGCTGTTAGAAAAATAAGTTGTCTTTTAATCTGATGTTGTTAGGTTATGAATTGAGCTGTTAAAGAATATGATTTAAAAACATATATGGAAACTGTTAAATATTTAATGGGGTATTTTTTGTTTTAAAATAATAATAATAATTACCATTTGGGGATAAAGTTGCATAGATCCTCTAAGATATTCTTATCTATGAGATCCCTTGAGACTTTGTATTCAAGCTGGTTCATAGCAACTTATCAGCCCTGCTGAATGCATGTTATAAAATTCTGAAGTACTAAATTTTGAAAACTTACAACTAAGAAAATAGGATCCCCTTTTCCCACTATTTCTCAAAAGGGGGGAATTTTCAAGTCTGTTGTAATAAAGAGTGAGTTTTCATCTGAAATTATATGGCTATCCTATATAAAATTATGAATTTTATTGTAATAGTCTATAATGAAGTTATGTTTTTGAGCCAGTTTGAGAATGGTGGACTTTGAATTCAAGGATTTTAAGATAGGGTTTTTGAGTCTGAAGCCTATCATTGCTAAGTTGAGTTTTCAGTCACCTATTATGTATTCACTGTATGTGTAATTTAAAGAACATCAGAATGTGGTCATTTTCAATTTACAAGTGAAGGATAAATAAAATGTACCTGTTAGGGAAACAGAAGAAAACTAACAATATTCAAGCTATGATTAGTGAAATTTTTCTCTTTGAGGTAAAAACATAGGACTATAATTTGATATTGTTTTGAGTTTTTATTATTTTGATGGTTGTCAGAATTGTCATGAAGCCAATAGCGCACCATTCAAGGAGAAGATGGCATGTGCCACAGTCTGAGAAGTGCTACAGATAGATGTCTATCCCTGGGAAAAGTTTAGGAGATGACCTTGGCATGGCCAAATATAGGATCTTTTTGACTCATTTCCCCCATGGTATTATTTCCTTCTCAACAGGAAATTTTCCCACCTGCTTAATTCTGCGCCTGGCTTTGATAACCTAGGAGTAATGTGTTGATTTGTTACATGATTGGCTATTAAATACTGCTTGTCCCTGGAATGAAACAGAGCTGAGTGGTTGTTCCCTGTTATGGTATACATTAGGTGAGAAGATTAATATTGATCCTGTATCTTTTTTTATTGATTCTATCTACAATTTATTGATTTTGTCCTGTAACTGCTTAGCTCATAGTTCTTTGTCTCTGAACTTAGCTCAGAGTTCAGCTGGACTGTGATGGGTTAAATTTAAAAATCTAGATCCCTTGTCTCAAGGAATTTAACTTATCTTAAGGAATGGGGAAGAAAGCAAGGGAGTTTGGGTCTGATATCCTTACTCCACCAAGTTATCCTTCAAGGATGAATGCTTTACTGTTGAAAAGTCTGAGCTGTTATCTCTCACCTGGACTCAAACAATGAGTACTTCTTAGACTCATGAGACAAGAAGGCGGATCTTTGCTATCCCCAATTAACAAACCTCCAATTAATCATGTTGTTCTCTGTGCATCACCTTGGCAACCAGTCATGTTGTTCTTAATCCTATAATGTCTGTCCTACCCTGTTCTGTTCTTTCTTCAATACCCCCAAAAAAATGTTTTTAAAAAAAAGGGAACTGTTTATCTGCTCAGGGTCTTTGGCTTTAGTGGAGGCAAGCTATTGATCTATTTATTGACTGATAACATGCCCTTGCTAATAAATGTTATCTGGCTTGGAGAGCTACCTCAGTTTACCCTTTTTGTTAAAAATTAAATGACAACACAGGTCAGTCTGTGCCCTTGAGGAAACACTCTTGCCAAGATTATAACTATCCTCATCCTTTTTCCTTTCATAGCAAATTTCTCTGAACATCTATGAACTGCAGAAGTTTTGTTGTTGAATTATTGTCTCAATTAATAGATTAATACTGATACATTTCAGTTCAAATCATAATATAGGCATAATATCCTCTGAGGAGGGGAGAGTTAGAATTAGGTAAAGTAATAAGACAAGAATGTAATATAAAAGTTTTCTAAATATATGGAATAGTAAATTTTGAGGAAGCAGCAGGATTATCCCAACTATTAGGATATATACATATGTATATGATTGGCTTCCAAAAGTTTTTAATGGGAAATTCAGGCTTTGAGTATATTTGAGTAACAAGTTCTCAAAATTGGATTAAGAGTTTTATTACATTGATAATTGTAAAGAAAGTGAAATTATTTTCCCATTTTAAATTATCTACCTGATCATTTTAAAAGACAGAAGAGCTCATTTTATA